ATCTGTCTCAAACTAGGACTCAGGTATCGTCTTTTGATGTAAGTGTCAAGACAATATTAGACTCTTTGTGGCAAATAATTGAAATAAAGAAGCTTGTAAAATGTATACCTCACAAACTGAGTGACGCACTTCAACGCCTTTGAAGAGTTCATCAATTCTCTTGGAGCAGACTTCTATAGAAAGGGCATCAAAAAAGTGTTCATCAAATGGCAACAATATTTTAATTGTTTAGACTCCGTGGCGCCGTGGCTTACCATTGAGTTGCACAGGTTTGAATCCCGCACGGAATAAGTATTATTTATATGGCCTTAAAAATGTTTGTTTCGGATCTGGATGTTTGTCCTTGTGCAATTAATGTATGTAAACTACTTTCACAGTACAGGAGAAAATTTTAGTGTAATGTCTTTTAAAAAAAATCGATTTTTCCATACAAAACCTCTCAAAGCAGAACGCAACTGTGTATGCACCGATGCTTGGCGTAAGAAATTGGTAAAACAGTGTGACCCACGGCTGGTTTACCCACTCTCTTTATCTTACCAATTCCTGACTCATAGTAAGTTAAAATTGTATTCAATGTACTTATTTAAACATCGTCGTGATATTAATAAAAGGAAGTTTCAAAATAAATATAAATCAAGTTATGTCGCGGGAAATAAACCGCACGCTGCGATCAAGAGGCAGATGACGTAATAAATGCGCCGTTGCTTCGGAGTGCGCATTTCGCATTCCAAGTTCATGGCGACTGATGCGTTGAAACCAATTGAAATATTTCGCTTCAATAAACGTTTCTTTTACGGAAACAAAGATGGAATTAAAAACTATTTTATATTTAAAACAAAAGAGTTCAAACTCGATTAAAAATGTGAGTTCAGTTATTACTAATAATGGATAACGTGTTTTCGATTACACTTATAAGTACACTTATAATCGAATATATTTAATTATCATAGCTACTTCGATTATCAAGAGCTCTTCGATTATCATAGCTCCTTAAGACGATGTATAAGTGCCAAAAGAAGCAAATACATACCATTACACGAGACACGGAGGGTTTGACGTGAATATTGCATTTTCTTTTTTTTACTAAGTTAATACTTGTCTTGGATTCAAAATAAATTAACGCGCCTCTACGTCATCAGTGCGATGCTCACTTCATTCTACAGAAGCTTTTAATTAATACAGTGAACGGACACGTATGATAATTTGTTTGAGATAAGATTTTGCCAGTTTGAATTTATGGTGCAGCCGGCCGGCGCTAATAAATTGTTAATTGTTATAATTGCTAATTTACCTATTCGCTTGGCGGTAAAGGAAAACTTCGTGAGCAAACCTGCATGTCTAAGAATATAAAATACGCCTGTCATCTCGAGGAATTTACAGAGAGTACGATATTGGTATCAAAGGCTAATGCGATATTTAAAGTAGATATATAGAGTACAATATATAGAGGAGGTCTATGTTTGACAGAGGACTTTTAATAGGCTGTGACGGTAACGGTAAAATAGATATAACTATGTATACGTCCCAGTAGGTACTGCCCCTAAACATCAGCACGCTTGCATAAGTTTCTCGTATGTGGGATATCCGAATTCAATCCCCGTTAGGGCCACCACAAGATATTGGCTGCGTTTGGCAGAAAAAAGCGCTAGCAAGCGCTTGTAAGCAAAATGGCGATCGTAAGCGGTAAGCGCTGTCAAATCGTAAGTAACTATTTTCCTCTAGGACACGAAGTTAGTTTTAACCGGGGAAGCTAACCTAATTTAAATATATGTTTGTAAAGTATTCATATTAAAAACTTACCAATCATGAATTTTTAATAACATGTATATGTTTATTCATGTCATTATATTAATTAAAACTAATATTGCACAAAACAACTTATAAACTCTACTTCAAAACAAACTCATTAAATAATCAAAATGGCCGATTATGTCAGCGCTACTGAAGTTAGCAAACGTGTCCTGGCCGAAAACTGTTTAGTATCGCCATTTTGCTTACAAGCGCTTGCTAGCGCTTTTTTCTGCCAAACGCACCCATTGTAAACGCCTTGCACTTCTGAGAAATTAACAACGTTTCGAGGACGTGTGGAGACCGCAATCTCGTACTTTTGAAATTCTATAACACTGCTAGATGAGAAGATGCCTTTGTTGTGCAGTAAGGCATTTTTACGATGTTTCTAATCCTTAGTTTATTGACGCTCCCAAAAATTTAATTATTTATTACTTTTACTAGCTTCACAGGCAACTGAGTATATAACGCTATCTATGTAAAGGTCATGTAAATAGTAATTTAAGTTCTATGGAAGAGTGGAGTCTCCTAACAAAGTTTTTATACTTCAAAGGAGATCCCATCCCCGGTTATATTGTATTTATGACCATTTACTGAATAAAATATTTTATTTCTATTGATTTTTTTATTTATTCACTAGTATTCCCACACGACTTCTATATAAAGTTCGATGTGATATTATATATTCAACATAGGCCATTCAATAATAGAAAATATGTTGGTAGGTAAGTTTACGTACGTAAGTTTGAGTACTATGCGGACACACTAAGTTTACACTGTACTATCTAATATGTCGGACTCAAAAACAATATGTTAAATGTGGAAAGCTATCAGAAGTGTATAGCGTAACTATTATCATTATGCGTATCGCCTATCTGAAGATAGCGATATTGTATCGAGCAATGTAAAAAATTCCGTGGTAAATATGCGAACGAAGGAATATGAACATACTACAAATACCAATCGTATTTTCCATGATTTATCTTCAAAAACGAATATTTTTGAAAGACGCGGTATTATTTTTTTATAACATCAGGTGACAAACGAACTTGAAGTCCACTTGATCCACTTGAAGACCACTGCTGCCGCCTTGCGTATTACAGTCAAATGTTAAATAAAAAACCTGTACCTTAGTATTTCGAACGTATATTACGACTTATTTGTGGCGGCGCTGTCGTCGCGCAGCAAGCGAAACTCACCGAAGCCTAAAACACGCTATCAAAAAATTCCGAATCATAAACAGTATATATAGAACATCTCCGAACTATCACACTTGCGCCCTCCTTTCTGCCAAGGAGGGTCGCGTTCGTATACGGCTTAGAGATCTCTAGTCAGATCGTTAAGCCAGTTCCTAAAAGGTTGGGTTTAGTGGGTAAAAGTCACCACATAACCACGCAGCCGGCTGCGTGGTATGCTATGAGCATTCCCAACCTCCCTCCCCCGCTTTCCGGAGGGTTGCCCATATTTGCTTCGGGCGCAAAAAAAAGAAACTCACACGGAGCGTTTGCCGCTCCCCAGGCCAGGCAGAACACCTTGCCCGGCGGGAGATCTCCCCTTTTCCTTCCTCGGCCACAGTGGTGACCTCGACGTGCTCCGCCACATATTAATTTGCCATATTGCAAAGGAAAATTAAATCTTTGATCAATCAAAATATTAGACTAAACTTATAATACATACGCGCCATTTTATAAGCAGTTTATATCAATAAAATACTCTTGCTATAAAAAACTGCAGCACGAGAATACTGCTATTCTTTACTGATACTTTATGATATAATTTTATTGTCTGGTAGAAAGTTATCTATACTTCGAAAAATGTGGGTTTATTGGATTTAGAAAGGTTCTGTAGCTTTAGCTCTGCTAATATTTTCACCGTGTTTATGTTTATTTTTACATGGTTGTAAATATGATAGTAAACATAAACAAAGGCATAACTGATTTTGAAAAAGGAATCTTTTTTTTTTTTAATAAAACTGAAGTGATAAATGAACTTACAGTCCACCTGATGGTAAGTGGCTACCGATATCCATGGACACGCCATAAGTTTCGAATTCCAAATCAAACCATAGCTATTAAAGTTTAAACTGGTTCCCGCTGTTCAACAAAGCGCCAATTCAATAGGTAAAGACGTAATGTTTACATGGAAACAGAGATAAAATATAATACGGAGAACATAACTTCTTAGTTTAAACACTAACAATTTGGTTTTAGTACTAATATCAACGAATGCTGAGAATAAGGTCGAAATCCACAGTTATAACAAGTAAAATTATATTATTAATCATTTATAGACGTGGTTGAGAAACCAAGTTGAATATTTATGAGGGTTTTATTGATACTAAAGATAATAACAGCTACGGTATTTATATAATTATATATTCTGTAACTGTGAAAATTCACGTGACTTCTGCAGTCTACATACAGGTCAGGGGCTCGATCGGAATATTCGTTCAATAACCAAATTATTGTTCGTTTTAATATTAAAATATATCATAATTCCCTGACACTGACTTCACGGCCATTACTAGAGCTAACCGCATACGAGATACATTGGGTGCGTTTGGCAGAAAAAAGCGCTAGCAAGCGCTTACAAGCGCTAAAATAGTTTTCTGCCAGGACACGATTGCTACTTCAGTAGCGCTGACACAATCCGCCATTTTGCTTATTTAATTTGTTTGTTTTGAAGAAGAGTTTATAAGTTGTTTTGTGCAATATTAGTTTTAAGTAATATAATAACGTGAATAAACATATACACGTTATTAAAAATTCATGATTGGTAAGTTTTTAATATGAATACTTTACAAACATATATTTAAATTAGGTTAGGTTCCCCGGTTAAAACTAACATCGTGTCCTGGAAGAAAATAGCTACTTACGATTTGACAGCGTTTACCGCTTACGATCGCCATTTTGCTTACAAGCGCTTGCTAGCGCTTTTTTCTGCCAAACGCACCCATTGATAAAGCTAGTAAGATAAAATAAAGGCACTCACCTTTATTTTGTGTGCTGTTGACAATTACTAACATAACATTTGTAAGTTCATCGAGATCGTAAACGCATTAATACATTAGTAGCTGGTAGTACTTTTGGACTACACCAACTTTAGACCAATTTATAAAAATTATTGTATTCTGTTCTATTCCTTGTTATCGGGCACTTTGAGCTGTAAAAATAAACAAAAGAAAGCAAAATCAAGTTTACAAATTCTCTTACCGTAGCTACAGGTCGGGTCCATCGCTTCTGGAACATGGTTGTCAACGATTGGCGATTCATGCCCGATGACATAGTCGACGCCAACATCTTCAAACACTGAACCGACACTATTCACAAACCACACAGTCACAATGGACCGACACTATAAAATTCCACTAAAAAGTTGTTTCTGGTACTGGTAATACCACTATGGGTCAGTTTTATTTTTAATCAACACTATAAAAACTTCGACACGAACACCAGTAAATGTAAAAAACGTTGCTATTGAGTAAAGTATTTATAAGATTGCCACATAATATAATATTTTAAACAGTACCACCATGTATAAATGACGAAGTTTTACCTTACTGCAAGTATATTATTAACACATTCTAAAACCGCGCTAGAACTTCTAAGCACATGCTAATGAGGGGAACAATCTACTTTTACTAACGCGTCAAGTTTCACGAGATGCTGCAGTCTGCGACAACCGACAAGGCGCCTATCACTTCTCTACGTTTGGTCAAAACAAACTGACTTTCTCCGCAAGTTTTTGCGTCAATTCACATTGTGGGTGAAGTCTGTTCGTTTGTACATATTATATATATATATGGTTTTAAACAATCGCCATCATATTCTGATGAAAAAAACTAAAAAGTAAGATTTATTCGTTTAAATAGAAAAAATAGAAACTACTGAAATATGTACACATAATATAATATGAAATATACTTGATTTAAATTTTTGACTTTTTGCTGACTGACAGCTGACAAACTAACATTTTTATCTTTAAAAAGAATTAGGCTAGTGTCATTTTTACATGATCACTGGGCCAATGGCTCTTGATCGATGAAACATTTCTGGAAACACACAAATTACTGACTCGTCCTTTTGTTGGTTGGTCGTAAGGATGAGCCCCAACCCATCGAAGTATTCGAATAAACGATACAACTAACAGGTCATCATATTTTCAACAATACGCCCTAAGTTTGCCAACAGTATTCATCTTCAGTGTTCTTTCTGTTTTTAAAAACCTTAAATCTACATTAGGACATAAAGTTTACACACATACATTTTACAAGGACAAATATTCAGGCCCGGAACACTTATTCGTACATACAATTGTTTATACCTAATTGTTCCGTGCAGTATTCGAACCCGCGGCACCGTGCGTCGAAACTCATTGCTAAGCTACTACGCCAGGGACTTCCTGATTAGATCTATAGAGAGCCAAAATGACTTATAAAATAATCCAGTTCAATAACAATTACAAGGTGAAATTGTGATGCATTTCATGTTGTGGTTTGCAAGCATATACTCACGGCTCTACGATAGGTTTTTCGCAGTTGTTAGCGCCCACACAATAATCGTATCGTATTACAGCAGTATATAACCGACAGTAGTGTTGCAAAGCATAGTTTATGCCAATTAGCCAAAATTTTGTGGCAAAATAGCCTGAGATTTAAAAAAAAAAACTTTATTCTCGCTACAAAATTATATACAGACTTTAAATATACGGGGAGTTAATATAAGATAAATAATTAATGAGATTGCAGCAACGTAAGGACACCGGCAGCCACTCAGCTTATGCTGCAGCGCACTTACGAGCAGACATCTGGCGCAGTTTTACATTTATTATTAACATGATACTACCCTAAGAAAAATAATACCTATGAAATCATATCCTTCTTGTAATATATACAACATACAAAAACTAAAATATTTTTGTACTAAAACTTAAATTAATAAATTATCATACATATGATTGCTCAATGACTATACTTGGCCTTTGAGCGAGGAAAGAACCAGCCTTATTATCATCACCAGCAGTGACGACCATTTGGGAATACAGTTTCTTTAGGAACGGCACATAGACCCACGGACCGACAGTCTCTACAACAAATGGCACAAATAATATGTAGTCATCTCTCAGAGACTCATATTTTCCGCCACTTGGGTCAGCTGCCTTTGATTGCGCCCCGGCTCTATAATACTAGCTTGCACTGTTACAAGGCAGACATTGTTCTACCCTTTTCGACGACCCTTTGTCCCATTAAAAAACCTTAAATTCGCAAAAAATTATTTTGGGTCACTCATGGGCAAAAATAACTATTCTATTCTCAAGTTGGACCAAACTGCACACGGTGTGCAAATTTGATTAAAATCGGTTAAGTAGTTGAGGAGTCCATTGCGGAGAAACAACGTGACACGTAATTTATATATATAAAGCTAATATAACGGTAACTACTATCGAAAGTATATGTTCCTTATTAGGATTACTTTCTTCAAAAGTAGTATAAATAATTGTGAGCTAACAAAAAAAGACCATACAATAGAATAACAAATATTTAAACCTACACAAAAGCCAGTCAGTAAAATCCAATTTTTTTTTAAATTTCGTATTATAAAATACATACAATTGCCTTTACAATAGCCTTCTTTACTGAGATTTGAGATTAGGTTAATTAAGGATCAGTCGCCAATAGCAATTATTGGTCGCACCATATCTCCATTTGAGGAAGCCTTAATGGTGAAAAATCGCCTGACTTGGCAACACTGAGCGTCAATACCCTAATAGTTAAGAGTACGGACTGCGAAACAAAAAAGTCTAGGGTTTATATCCGCCATCTTAGCACATGCGTTTTAAGCTTAGTTGGTGTGGTTAACGAGAATATTCGTAGCTTTAATATTTTTTCACAGAAAATCTTTTAAAAACAGCTACAGCAAGCTCCTAAAAAAGGTTTTATAACCACACTATCTAACTACCAGTTAATTCGATAGCGTTACGTACCATCATTTACGATATAAATTAAAAACGGTGAACTGTTATTTACCGGGCGACACTATCTTTAATATTTACAACGCCAATATTCACGCTGACATCACTGCTTTGCTCAAATTAAAAATAGTGAGGTAAATCATTGTCAGGCGAAGCTTGCCGATGTTTACTTTTGGTTTAAAATATAATCGGATTAAACGTAAAATCTATAGTCACCGTAATAATGTGTAAATGCTTCAGAAGTTTTACTACGATACGAACCGTACCGTATCCGTATGACATGTATGCATGGTCATTGATTGATGCGAATGATATACAGTCATGCATTTTTTACGTGGTAGAGCCACGCTGCAGCTATAGCACGAATGGGTCGGCTCGACCGGGGCAAAACCACACCACAGAATACCAGCGTAAAATAGCAGCGTAATGCTGCTGTGTTTCGTATGGTAAGTGTAGAGAACCACAGGCTCTTTTTACTGCAATCGAGGCATTCCATCTTAGTCCTCAGGGGTGACAACTCATTTGCATTATGATTCTTAATTGAGCCATGCCACTGCATCCACTTACCATCAGGTAGACTGTGTGCTGGTTTGTCACCCAATGCTAAAAAAACTACGTGCTGGCTGTTGATGGACAATTCATTTAATTTCTCATAATTCGTTGTTTTTGAATAATTCGCTTTTTTCCGTCTTCGTATTTGTATGTCATGCAACAGCTCGGTTCGTTCCGACGACGTTCCATTGACGCAAGCGAATCTGTGTTATTAATATCAATGTCAAGATTGTCCCGTATTTTGGGACCGAAATTCTTCTTTTGTATACTACTTAAATGAACGAAAACAAGAAAAATATTTATTTAAAGAAAATGTCCTTTAGCTGCGCAACAAACATACAAGGAAAAATAATAATATAAGAGTTTAAAAAACTTATGAACACGCATTGACCATGAGCTGTAATGATCCTGATAATTATTTTATTTTACCCCGGGGATCCTAATCAGGATACTAGTATAAAGTTGTAAAATTATTGTATTACAATCGGTTCTTGATAATGCATTGTTGATAATGCAATGCAGGATCACCCCGTCACTACATTGGATTTAATAGACTACAAATCCTCGTTAAAGAATACCGATTCCTTCCAAGGATGATTCACGAAGCTGTCGAAATCAAAAAAATATCGTAATTTCAATATAGAAGATGACTACATGCTACAATCTGCTTGGGATCCTATAATTAATAAAATTAAACCCCAACCCAAACATACAACTGCAAGACTTCAAAATACTATAAGTTCATACTATATATATATACGCGATAAAACCAGAAAAAATTAGTTTTATTATACGTGTAATGTTCGCGTAAATATAAGAAATCATCATAAAAAGTGACAGACAGATAACACAGAAGTATGAAACGTCAAATATGCGACAAAAACCGAGATTTTTTTATAATGTTCCGTTTTGCATATTTTGACAGGAAACTACACTGTTATATGATTTTAAATAATTCGTTGTTTTGCATTTTTGAGTTATGAAACGTGCCGCCAGTGCCATTCATAAACGCAAACGGCCTTGCTTCTCGCCTGGCTAACATCTATTACGTGAAATTGTTTTCTCCATACGATGTTGAACGGGGTCAACAACTTATGGAGATAACTATTTGTTTTTACTTCTGTTAGGAAAAGCAATAATGTCTAACAACATACGTCGAACAACCAAGCTAAGTTTCATCTATCATTTGATAATTGTAATCAACATTTTCATTACTATTCCCTTCAGAAGTCAACTGCTTAACATAGGCATTCCCCATAGGTTACCTCATAGGCGGGAAATTAGCCAAAGCTGCCACGCTTGGCAAACGCAGCTTTTTTATTTAGCTGTTATCAGGAAAATACTGCCGTTCATCTCCTGAATCAGTTTGTCTCAGCCGCCTCTTTCGATACGCACAGGTAAATAAATAATACCTATTCTTACACCGTCACTATTCGGTACGTTAGCGAATATCATTCATATTAATAGTCAGGGAATCTATCAACCAAATAACGCCCCGTGGTTACCGCAAAAGGTTACTACGGAATATGCTATAAGGATCTCATGGCATCTGATAGACGGCTGTATTATCACCTCGTTGACGCCAGACGTAAAATATCCAGTGCTAGACGTCTGGTAGTGCGATCGTGGATCCGTCTGCCAAGCATGACGATTTTTTTTATAGTATAGAGTGACAAACGAGCACACAGTCCACCTGATGGTAAGTGGTTGCTGCGGCCCATAGACATCTACATCTAATCTCGATTACTAATCAAAACGCAGTTGCGTTGTCACCAGT